GGTCATCACAACCACCCTTTTCTAGGCAAGAACGATTCTCCCCTTTAATAGACAAAGACACTGGTGACCAGAAGGTTAAATGCTTTGCCAAGAACACTGCAAACTGGCAAAATGAGATTACAATGCCCTCCTCCAGTATTCTTTCCTCATCTCTGTGTGCCTTGGTGCTGATTGCTCCTGCATAATCCACATTTAACCCCCAGGGAAAGCAGCTTCATTTGGCCCCTTCTGAACTGCTGATTCTTAAAGTTTTGGTGAAGCTTATAGCTCTTGAAAATCTTATTATGATACCAGAACTATCTCCCAAAGCTTTTACTCTCCTGTGACAATTAGTAATCTCATAGATTATTATTTTAACTTGTTTCTTCTGTTGTAATAGTTTTCCATTAACTTACTTTTTATCCCATTTTTTCTTTCTCTGCTCCCAATCTCCACTTTCCTGGTTTCTGACTATATAAGGGACTCAGTTCCTTTTTTCTTTTTCTTTTTAACATGTATTTCTAAGCAAATATGTATCAAGCCCTTAAGCAGTTGGAAACATATTGATAGACTAAAAAAAGAGAGAGAGAAACTTCAGGCGTTTCTGTAGCTTTGAAATGGCAAAAAAATCACAGCATCGTCAGGGAGTCAGTCATAGATGACGGAGAGTTTATGTATCTTGCATCTTTCGTTTATAGAAAGAAACAATAGCCAGCTTCCTAGGTTTGGGGCTCTTGGCGCCGCCCCGTGGAGGGAAGCGCCTTTGCACCTCATTCCCTTCAGTCTCAGCATTGTCATCATCTGGACTCTTGGAAAGGTTCAAATTAAATACGATAGGAAGAAACACCGGTTCCAGGTTCATAATAATCGTAGATGGCTTTCTTCAAAGTTCATTTCAGTTTTTAAAAAAAACTCATGTGTCATCTTAAACACAATCCACACCACCAAATAGTTTATAAAAGTGGACTGCAGAAGGTGTATTAAGGAACAAAGCTTGTTAAAACAGGAGTTTGAATCATCTCCGCAGTAGGCAAGGAACGTCTTTGGTGGTGATCAAGACTGAGGTGTCCTTCAGAGTCGGGAAGGGGGAAGTTTGTTCTCTATTATCCACAGCTGGCAAATAACTACTTTCCGTGCAATAATTCCAAGATCTTCCAAAAATTAGAGAATTTTGCCCCTTCCTTCACTTTTTTTTTTTTTTAATTTTAAGGAAAGAAAGGCCTGAAAGTGGAAGATCACTTTCAAACTTATGTCATTTTATGGACTATATTTTATCTGTATCTTAAATCCAGTGGGAAAATACTGTTATTGCATTTCCTTTAATATCTGGGAATTGGCAATGTTATTAACTTGCACTCTGTTATATTTCTAAATTTTTATTTTTTTAATGAAAAGTTCTTCATGCTTGCTCTGCTATAAAATACACGATTTCTTGGGTATATGCATTATATATATTTTCAGATAAAAATAATGGCAAAAGGGACATGTGCCTAGAGAAAAAAGAACTGAGAAAAGTTCAACAAACCGGTGGCTCTGAGAGTTTGCTTTTCATTAAGTTTGTGATCTAGTCTTTGAGTTCCTCTTTTGATTCTTCAGGCCACCACCAGCATTTCCTCTGTGGGCGGAACCTAGAGGTAGGCAACTTGATAACAAGTCAAGGCCGTATTTTTCCCTCACAATTGTTGCTCCGGATAGTTGATCTCCTACCACTTCTCCCAAGGAAATCTTCTATGTTATTAACCTTTTTAAAAGAAAATATGATCTGAGACATACACGGGGTGTGGCCTGCTTTAGATTTTTCAGAAAACACTCACCTCCCTCCCCCCAACACTTCGACCTTCCTCTCCCCCTTTCTTTTTAGATTTCTTTTTTTCCCCCTGTGGGGCCATATTTCTGTCTCTCTGGCCAATCTTGTGAATTATTCCAGGCAAAACAAATTGTCGAACCACCCAACACAAGCTGTGCGATCAGTCTTTTGAGCTCTTGAGTCATTTTAGGCGTCGGAACAAAACAAAAATAGGGTTAAATGAATTATTCATTAAGGTCGAGAATAACTGATTTGTGCAGTGTCGTCAGTTCTGGATTTTAAATTTGTTTTCTCCCCCTCCCCACTTCCCACCTTAAATAGGCATAGAAGGGAATACGGGTAGGAGCCCCAAGGGCTGGGAGGAAACGCACATCATTCGGGAAGTTGGTGGGTGATGTCAGAATGGGAAGAACCCTGATCGATATTTGAAGGGGGAAGAATGCCCAAGCATCCGCCGGCAGCCTCCGGCAGCCTCCGCGCCCTTCTTGCAGTGGTCAACAGTGCCAGGGGCGCGGGCATCGCGGCCTTCGGGAAAAATCCCTCGCGGGTCCCAGGACCTGGCGGCATTAAGGCCCAGGCTCCGCTCTCACGCTCCACGGAGGGTCTGCCCAGCCAGCAGGGAGATCCCGTTCCAAAAGCGTCTGCTTCAACCCCTCTCCCGCCACCGTCCAGGCCCTCCGCGGCTCCTCGGGCCAGAGTGGCCGAACCTCACCCGGCAGGGCCCAGCCACGTGCTCCCGAGGGGCTCCCCGCACCTCCCGCCCCCAGGCTGGCGTCGGCCTCTGCCTGGAGCGTTGCTCTGCATCCCCGCCGCGGCTCACCAACCCTGGCTCCTCCGCCAAACTCCCCTCGCCTTCGGAGCAAAGCGAGAGCTGCCTGGATGGTACATCTCCTCGCCTCAGTCCTTCCTCTCCTCGCTGCTCACCTCAGAGACAGACCTGTGAAAAAACGGCACGAAGATGATAAGAAACAGCTCAACGAACCCTCGAAAGAGCGTGGGCTTTTTCTGGGTCAAATATCGGTTTCCCCAGGAAAACGTGGGAGGGATGATCCTTCCGGATCCTCTCTTGCGGACCCGGGCCCACACCGATGCAGTTCTGACCGAAAGGCACTATCTTGTCCTAGGAGGTCATTTGCCTCACTGACACCCCCCATCCCCAATAGAAAAAAGCTGTTCCCCAGAAAACGATCTACAGAACCGCAACGAAACCCCAGATTTCGGCCCAGCCCTCCTTGGAGACTTTAAAGGCCATTTTCTAACATCATTCTGCACCTCGTCACGGAAGCGATGCCAGCCACGCAGATTCTTAGGGTTCTTGAAACGGTAATTTGGAGTGAAATGTAACTCAAATAACTTTGAATCATTCATTAGCACCTTATAATTACTCTGCTAATTAGGTTGACAGGACTAATACGCCGTCTTGTCACTGGCACTTCCCATTACTCTGACATTCAACAAGAGACAGGTTGGAGACGTCCTAGAGAAAATAATGCAAGTTGATACCCTCTGACGAGGCGTCACAGTCTTGCTCCGGGTCCCAAGCGGATCCACAGTGACTGTTTCCTTTCCAAAAGAGTGACCGACCCGCAGAGGGGAGGAGAGAGAGAGAGACTGAGACAGAGAGGGAAAGTGGGAGAGAGGAGAGAGAACAACTGGTCGGCAGGGGCGCCACCGCCCTCTGGAAAGGGGTTCCCCGAGCCCCGCGCCGGCTTTGCGCCTCGGTGAACTGAGGCCGCTCTTGCCACTACAGAATGTCTCAAGATGTTATTTGCCCCGCTCGGGAGAAAGTGTCTTGCGAGGCATTTCCTCCAGCACCAGCTCCGATTAGAGAAGAGTCTGGGTACCTGCTTCTGAGCCGCCCGCCCCTTCCTCTCCGAGAGTACCCGGTGGCCTCAGAATCAGTTCCAACTCTCTCAGGGACGGGCCTCCAATGTGGGCCGGAGCCCGAGCGCCTGGGCTCCTTGGGCGAGAAACGAGAGCGCAGAGCCCACGCGCCCAGCCAGAGCCCCGGCTCTCTGGAGTGACACACGTTCCCGCGGGTTCCTTCAGGGATTCACTTCCCTTGCTGTCAGTGCCTTCCTACTATTGCAAGCGCGTGTTGGGGATGCTGCAGGGGCGGTCGGGCTGGAGTCTAAAGGTAAGTCAGCCCGATTCCTTTACCCTTCCCGCCCTCTCTTTTCCCTTCTGACTTCTCATTAAGAAAACGGGCACATCGTTACTACCACCGTCTTTTCTTGTTTGCTTTCGCTCCCTTTCTCCTCTCGCTTTGCCCCTCACGTGTGATTGTGGGCACCGGCACCACAGTAGCACTAGGCGTTCGGCTCAGGGCTGCAGGCAAAGGGGTTGTGCGGGTTCTCAAAAGAGCAGCGGGTCCGTAGCGGGGCTCGCTGACCGGCTTGCGAGCCGCGCGCCCATTGGCTCCTGACACGTCGGCGTCGCTCGCTCGCGGGGGCGCGGCCAATGGGCGTGCGGGGCCCCGCGCGCAGCCTCCGCGGTGGGGACGCGGGCCCGACGCCGCTCCGGGAGCTGCGGCAGTGGCCGTGACGTCACGGGAGGGGGTCGGCGCCGCCCGCGAGCCACCGGATTACAAGCGATCGCGCCCGGCCGCGGCCGGAGTCGCCCGGCGCCGCGTCTCCGCCGCCTCGTCCTCTGCGCCTGCTTCTCCTCCTATTCCTCGTCCTTCTTTTCCTGGCGTGGCCGCGGCTACTGCGGCCGCTCCTGCTGCACAACTTTCCAAGAAAGTTCAGAAACTCGGCACCGGGGCGGCGGAGTCGCGCGCGGCAGCCACCTCGGGAGGAGGG